AGTTATAGCCCAGACCTGACTGCAAGCTCCTATTCACAAAACTTAGTAATTATCTTGTATTTCTCCTAGGTTCAAAGTCTTTCACGGTCTTGTCCCAGTAATCTTATCAACCTCCTTTATTGAAGTTTATATTAATATATTTCTATGCATCCTAACTCCTTCCCAGAACACCCCCACACCTTTGCTCATGCGGGTCCACCGGCCCACAATCTCCTTTCCTGCTCTCCAGACTTGATGAATTTCCACCCATCCATCAAGACCAGTGTAACCATTAAGACCAACTCATCCAGAAAGCTTACTTTAGTTACGACTTCCATTCACAATTAACAGCTTCTTCTCTGCTATGTGACACTTTATGATTATTTTAATGTATTTTTTAAATATTTCAAAATAATATAATGAACAATCATGTACTCCCCAGTAGCGTAAGATATAAAACATTTCAAAATACTTGAATCCTCCTATGCATAATACTGACGGCAGTTGCAGCTGCCATCATGCCTGCTGCAGCAGGAAAACACAGCTGGGGCTGCACACTCCATGGAGCAAGTGGGAGCCCTGCCCCTTTTGAGTTGGGACAGGAGCTCCTGGGCCGCTGCAGCCGCCCAAACCACCCCGCTGCAGACCCAGGCCTCCTGCTGTATGGAGCAAGCAAGAGCCCTGCCCTCCTGAGCCGGGCTGCAGCCACACAAACTGCAGCTGTGTATCCGAGCCTCCCTGTGCTCTTGCGGGAGCCAGAAACGGGCAGGATCCGCCTTCCCGGGTACAGCTGCACCCGCTGCACCGCGCCTGCAGACCTGGGCCTACTGCTCCAGGAAGTAGCAGGCAGGAGCCAGGGACAAGCGGGAGCCCTGACCCTTCCCAGTTGGCGGGGAAGGAGCTCCCGGGAGCAGCTGCAGCCGCCTTCCCAGGCGTGCAGGAACAGGGCATCTCTGCAGCCTGCACCCTCAGGCACCCCGGGAAGGACACCCCACATCCCCGTCCCTGCAGGCTCAAGGATATCCACTCCCACTGCCGGCCTCTTTCCGCTCCCTCATTGGAGTGGGGTTGGAGTCGAGCCTCGGGGCCATGAATGGCAGCAGGAAGCAGATAGAATTCTGGGCGGAAGAGGGCCGGGTCTTCAGTAAGGCCCCACCCTCAGGCCAGGAGGGCTTGAAGGCTGGGGGCTGGGTTGCCAGTCCCTCTGACCAGAGTGAGGACTCATGGTGCCTCTTCCTAGACCTCCCCTCTGAGGGTCCATAAAAGCCCTGGGCTCAGCCAGAGCAGGGTAGAGGATGGCCAGAGGACAAACAGGGAGAGCACAGGATGGGATGACCAGCTGCAGAGAGAAGTACCCTCTCTATTGATAGCTGGAGACGATGGGGTGACTAGTTGCAGAGATGAGTGCCCTCACCACTGAGAGCTACAGAGACCACCTGCTGAGATCACCTGCCAGCAAAAAGGAGCTAGCCTCTCGGCTGAGAGCTTCAAAGACCTGCAGAGACACTGGAATGACTTCCTTGCAGTGAGGAGCCCCACCCTCTCCAGGGCCTTCTCTCTGCTAAGAGCTGAACACTGGACTGGACGACCTGCCTGCAGAGAGGAGCTACACACTCCTCTGAGCTGTTCTAACACTAAATGAAACTATTCTTTGCCCTTCACTTGTCTGCATACCTAATTCTTCCTGGACATAGGACAAGAACTCAGGCAAAGGTGCGGCAGCCATGGAGGTTTCCAGCCAGAAAAACTGACACCCCAGAGATCCCATAACAATACTTCCTCTGGGATCTTGTTTTCTCTCTCCATTTCCCACCACCCTTTCTCTTTCCACTCCTCCCCAGAATGATTATCCTGAATTCCATGCTTATCATTCCATGCATTTCTCTATATTGTGGAAGTATCCCTAAACAACATATAGTTTTTTGTTTTGTTTTGACAGGGTTTTGTCTCACTCCGTCACCCAGGCTGGAGTGCGGTGGTGCAATCTCAGCTCACTACAATCTCTGCCTCCTGAGTTCAAGCGACCCTCACACCTCAGCCTCCCAGGCAGCTGGGACTACAGGTGTGTACCATTGAGCCCAACTATTTTTTATATTTTTAGTAGATATGGGGTTTCATCATTTTGCCCAAGCTGGTCTCAAACTCATGGGCTCAAGCAATCAACCTGTCTTGGTCTCTCAAAGTGCTGGGATTACAGGCGTGAGCACAACACACAGCCAACATATAGTATTTTTTGGCAT